TGTAATATGGTGGAATGAATAGCACGTACGTTGAGCTTAAAACACAAATAAACAGTGTGTTTATCATTATCTAGGGACAAAACAATTGGTTAAAACCGAATCGAAATTTCAATGTTAAAAAACTGATGATTCGAGAGATTGTAGAATTTGATTAACTATCAGTACTATTTACTGAATCATTAGTTTTAGTCATTGTTTTTGTTTAATTCCAGTGCAGCGCCTGGCCCAGAAAATAAGTGTAGTTGTGTATCGCTGTTCGATTTTGAGAATTTTTCATTTTTGTCGACCATAGACTTTTGATTGATTGCACACCAACGGCGTTAAATCGTCAATAAATTCCTTTTTTCCAGATCAGTTTTACCCATAGACGTACTTTTGATTGTTTCAACACCAACAGCCCTCGTTAAATCTTTAATACATTCAATAGCTTTAGCGTTCCTCTTTTTATATTATTTCTTGACTTGTTCTGAAATATTTTTAATGAACGTTAACATATATTGACAAGCAAGGAGGCTTTTCCAATAACAAAATTATCTCAGGTGTCAAAATACACTTACCACTTGTACTTATGGTCAGCCACATCATCCCCAAGACCAGTAAGACAACAAAGAAGATGACATCCACTAAAACAACCGCCATGCTTGTTTCAGGTTTATGGGAAGACAGAACCGAACAGGTTTGCAACTTAGCGGAAACTAAGCCTTCGCAATCTGCAAGTGATTTGATTAGATGAAATAATTTTTTTCTGCTATTTCATTGGTTAAATGTGACGGAAAGCTCCTTGAAGGACTTTGTATACTCAAAGGTCTGTTTCATAAGCATGTCAATTGTATGTACACGTCACACGCGCGTGCTGCAGCAAGGCGCTGACAAGAAAACATGAATGTATATAGTTTCCCTTTTCTCTTAATCTTTCGCTTTTCAGTAAAAAATGTTTTTTTTTCCATTTAGTTTAAAACAAACATAGTTTTTGATTGAACGTGTACGTGTTTGAACAGTTGAAAAGGAATCAAAACAAACGTAAGATAGACAGACCAAATAGGTTTTGAGAAAAATATGGTCTCTGACTTACAGTACCTACACGGTACGATATGCCGTATAACATTGAAATGGCTTTCATTGTCTTTCAATCTTCATCCAATCATAACACGTAGTCAGGGCAATGGTAAGATACAGTCCGGCTATAGAACAGTTACGAATTTGTCGTTTTCATCTCTCAGCTATATAAAGAGCGATAGCTCAATATAAAGAACTTGATATTCAAATTATAAGAAAAATATCGCTGAAGCATYTTTTATGCAGAATATAGATATATATTTTATATTTATAGTTTTTATTCAAATGCATCTGTTTCGTAAATAATTCAGTATGGAATTGTGATTCAGTTTATAGTCCTACTATATATAATTAGTGGGTTTGAAAAATCGTCCTTGTTCTTA